TCTAATGTATAGGCCCATGTTTAAGAAATTGAAAGTGTTAATTTTTAATTTAGACTTTTACTTGAAAATATTACAAATAAAATTAGTTATAAAGATTGATAATTGTCATGACTCTTGGCTGTATTGTATGGTCCTTGCTCAATACGAATATAATAACATGAAGTAAAATTGTACAGCTTTTAATTTTATGTGGGCCTTCTATTGAAATGAGGTAAAAGTCATGTTACTGAGAAATGTCAAATCAAATCAGTTTTATTTTCCACAAAAAGTATACAAAGTAACAATAAAAAAAAATAAATACAAAGATAGTAGTCTAGAAGCATTACATACATTGTTTATGAATAAATTACTTCATAAACTACTATTTAACTACTACTTATACTCCTTATAAACTTTGTTCATTAACTTAGTCTCAAATGTGAATATTGTTAAGTATTTAAAGCGGTGTAATGAATTAACTAAAAATATTATGGTAAGTATATTTTATAAATGTTAACTGTTAATCTATTTAAAGTATTGAAATGCCCAAGGCATGATTTATTGTGAGCAATTCTGTGTTAGCATTAGGCATGATTGTAAATGTTTCTAAATTAAACACGATTCTTGTTATTGAATCAATTTTATCTGAAAGTTTTAAAATATTTAAATAAAAAAGTACAGTATATAGAAACTTAAATGACAGACTTTTTTATTATTGTGTGACTGTTTTCTAACCATCTGGACCTAGGCATGCTGAAGCATGATGTTTCTTCTAACACCAACCAAAATGTCCTTATTTGTCATACTAGGTATAATTAAGTGTTAATAATTTTGAAATAAATAAGCTTTAATTTAAACATTAATCTTGGTTTTTCTAGAATTCTTCCGCCCTTGTTTCGAGTGTGATGCCTGCGGACGAAGATACTTCCACAAGAAGCATTTGAACCGGCACAAAAACTACGAGTGTGGGAAAGAACCAAAGTTCTCTTGTCCACTTTGCCAATACAGAGCAAAGCAGAAAATATGCATCCGAACTCACATGCGGAGAAAACATGTGGATGCTTACGAGGAAATGTTTGGAGTTCAAAAAATTATTTTCTAGTCACTCAATTTGTGTATTTATTCATATTGTTTCTTGATCTAAATGTGTTAATATATCATGTCAACACCACTTAAATAAATTCAAGTCAATTATAAGAATTCAGGGAAATATTATGAAAGTACAAACTACCAAATAATTTAATGTTCAATGATTTACTAGTCATTTATCCTATTAACAGAAGTATTTTTTTCTAAGTCGTAATTTGAACAAAGTTTATCTGATGTTAACTTATTAATGTAATAAATGTGTTATTCTTCTTACTGTCTGTTCTTTCCTACTTTTTTTACAATCTTGTGTATAGTTTGATTGGTCCACTCTTTTTGTGAAAGTACAAAAATATGTCAAATAACCCTTGTAATTAGTATATTTCATGACAAGAGTAGAAAGTGAGTCATTACATATTTGAGACCATGTTTGAAGTGCGAGATTTATCGACATATGTATAGACCAACTTTCACTTGTGTTTTGAACGTTACTTTTCGCTACACTACAAAGAATAATTATTTTCTTCAATACAATACTAATACAACTTTTAGGTTATGCCTTCAATTTAAAGTTAATGTATACTTTAGTTGTTTAAAATTGAAACAGTTTGATAAAACAATCACAAATATTTGTTTGTTTACGTCGGCAAATCCAAAAAAAGATAGTAAACATTACTTTCGCATAGTAAACATTCTTATGCCGTAGTAAACAATGTAATGATGAGTTTTCGCAGGTGATAAACATGTAACGAAAACATGTCATTTCACAGTAGTGTAGTAAAAAATATGTTTTCACTACACTACTATAAGTCGAGCTGTTTTCGTTATGTGTTTACAACCTGCGAAAAATCACATTTTCAACAGCTGTCTATTGTTTACTACCGAAAGTAAAATTGTTTACAACCAAAAATTGTCCACTGTCAAAAAATGTTTGTTATTGTTTTATCAACTGTTTTCAACAACTAAATTAAATATTAACTTTATATTGAAGGCATAAACTAAAAAATTCTATGAGTTTCGAAATGAAGAAAATAATTATTCTTTGTAGTGTAGAGAAAAGTAGCCTTCAAAATATGAGTGAGAGTGGGTTTATACATATCCTCGACCATTTAAAGTGCTTGATAAATCTCGCACTTCAAACATGGTCTCAATTATATAATGTCTTTCTACTCTTGTTATGAAATATTATATTACACTTATAAACTGTTTACTCACAAGATGTTTAATACATATAAATTTGTTAAGTGGTGATTGATTTTTATTGGACACTCCCAATATGCGAATAACAAGCATCTTAATTGCGTCCCTTCCATACTGTTGACTACCGGAGGTACCGGTCAATAAGTTTGTATAAGTACAACTGGGAGTCAAAATTCTCTTGTTCATTAATAAACTTATTTATATTTTTACATTTTTTTATTTATTTATCCACCAGTCATCTAGTGGGGGAGCGAGCTGGTCTAGTGGTTAGAGCGCGGGACTGCGGTTCCTGGGACCCCGTGTTCAAATCCCGCCAAATCACCAATGGATTTGATCTAAGTGATAATGCCGCAACCTCTAGGTCTAGCCTGAAGTAATGTGAAAAACAATTCCGGGCTCGTGCCTAGCGTCCTAGGACAAAAAAAAGTCATCAAGTATACATACACTAAACACAGAATCAACCAAAATAAACTACTGACATTTACCACATGTTTTATCAGGTTGGTACAGTTTCGCCTTTCATAACTTTTACTTGAACTAACCTCACTTTTGATCAGCAGACTACTTCATGGCAGAATTGGAATCCAACATAGAAGAAATCGTGTTGAAGGATCACGTTTGCGCAGTGTGTGGCCGAAGTTACAAGTACAAAAAACACCTCAACCGACACATCAAGTATGAGTGTTTCACACAAGAAAGACAGTTTTCCTGTCCTGTTTGTCAGAGAATGTTCAAGCGGAAATGCCATTTGGATGCTCACCTCAACTGCATGCACCACCATTTCAAACATGACCTGAAAGTTTAATTAGAAGAATCAGAACAATTTGTGAAATAGAACAGATACAATGCTTGATCGAAATAGAATCCCAATATGGATTGGGTCCAAAAATGTTTTGGGTTTTTCTACCATTGTCATTTAGTAAGTTTTCTTTCGATATAGGCCTAAAGGTTCACCCTAGTCTTTTTCTAAAATTGGTCTTTCATTAGATAGCATCATTAATTGCCAAATAATTTGCTAAACTGGTTTGAATGGATGGATTATTTACGCTGGTATCAAAGTCAATAGTATTATTTAGTTTTTCGCCATACTGCAGGAAAAACATCCGTTTTTAATACCTGCATAGCGGGTCTAAAGTAGGATTTTACTCTCTTTTTTAGTCCCTGAGTACAAATCAGCTGTTGTAAACAGCTGCTTATTTGCATTAGCAGAATTGAAAACAGGCTGGAAGTCGTTTTGAGAGGTTATCTTTACGTAAACATTATTTCGTTTTCTAGCTTAGTTTGTAAATTAATGATGCAAATATGACAAAAAATAGTTCACCACACGGGCAAAAAGTGCCTCGCTCATTTTCCGACCTCGGATTCGCCTTGATCGTAAAACTTGACCTCGGGTCAAAAATAATCACTTTAGGCCCTATTGAAGATATATATTTTTAAATGTTCAAAACTCTATTACCTGATTTTCTTTAATGATGATGTAAAATAAGTGACATGATCTGTAAAATAAGTGTAATAATTGTAATCTTTATAAGATTGTTTACACGTTATGTGGTATCTTGGTATGTACTAAGTACATAAATGTCATTACATGTTTTTATATAAAATATTTTTAAGCTTATATTTTATAATTATCAGCTATTATTTTCACTTAAATGTTTGTGCCCATGCACTGTCTTATGTATTCGTTAAATAGTATTTTAGATTTACAGAACAGATTTTTTATTTCAATCATTAAACTATTTTTACAATTTGTTTAAATTATTCAACCATTCTTTTACTAATCATTTTATTATTTCATACTTTATAATTATATAGTTCATTTAATTTAAAATCCAAGTCCTTAAAACAATACAACATATCCTGCAAGACTTTATACTCTCTTTGAAATAAATTTCTCCTATAATTCTGTCTCAATTTGTAATATCCTTGAAACCCAGGTTTAGCATAGAAGAAGGTCTTTGCAGAGTTTTCTATTCAACACTTATTTATATGTTTTTATTTAAGAATCGCTTTATTGATTTTATTTACTACAAAATGCTGACCATCCCAACCACTTGTCCTACTGAAATTGTATCCTCTATGGATAATATTCACATTGTTTAAATGAGTCATAGTTCAGTCATCTGTAATCATATTGTGGTAGTAGACCCCATAAGTTGTTAGAGTAGGAGCCTCTTAAGAATTTCAGAGAAAACTGTGCTCCGTTATGATTCAGAATATTCAAATTTGTCTATTCCATATCAAGAAAAAGAGGACAATATTAAAGGTGTTTTTAAAGACATACAAACAAAGTTATCACCCTACTTGAAGATTACATATTAAGTGTTGTATTACAAACTGTCTACTATTTCTGTTTGTAAATAAAGCAATGAAACGGAGCAAATCTTGTTCATATGATAAAAATGTGTTAAGAAAATTATGAGAAATAGATGACGGTATAAATAAATAAATATAAACCGTAATAGAGCGATTGTAAAAAATTATGATTAAGCACACTAGGGTACTAATAACAAAGTATTTCTGGTTAAACATAAAACAATAAGATTTTTCCTTAACTGAGATTCAATTTTTCTGTTCGGTCTGAAACGAATGTCTAAAAAGTTATTTTAACACAGTCACATCAAAATTATTCATATTTTTATGAAAAATCCAATTTCTGCTCAAACACTACATCTACAAGCTTCCCATGACATATTGCATTACCTGTACTAAAATTGTTTTATTTTCAGAATACTTCCTGAATTCATTTGGCCAAAATTCAATAAGTGATGACTTCAACAATTCTGATTGCATTGATGGCATGCCAGCAGGTAAGACCTGAAGTTATAGGTACTTATGTAAATACTATAATTTAGTATTATTAACACTATAGTCTGTATGATGTGGCCTGTCCCTGACCCTCCTGTTGTACTGTACAACTTGTACCTGTAGACTGTCCAGTGGTTTACATCCTGGCCAGGATGGTCAGGAGACAGGTTCCATCTTACAGACTATAATTTAAGTCAATTTAACAAATAATAGTTAACTTTACCAAACTGATTATAGTAAGTTATTATTAATTTATGTTTTTATTAATAGCTTAAATTTAAACAAAGATAGATATGGAGAAATTGTTTAATAAAATACTTTAGATTTGTAATATGGCAGCCGAAACATTTAAAATGTTTAGAATTTTATTCATTATTCAACACTATTCACTGTCCATTATTCAAATGATATTTTAGATCACTTCCTTTGTACCCCTGATATTCAAGAGCAAGATAACTTCGAACAGAGTCTTCTGGCTAAAGCACTTCAGAAGGAACCAGATGGTAAGTTTGAATTCCTTTTACACCAACGATTATTGTCCGTTATTCTATTTACTAATTTAAACTTTACATTTTGTTCTGATATTTGATCCTAGAACCATAAAAGGCAAAATTTGTTTAGCAGAATCTCAAGTAAATAGAAAATGATTATAGCATTTGCTTTGACAGTAAATTATGTTACGTTGCTTTTTAGTTTAACTTAATTTAGAATTTATTCAATTAATTCAAAAGAAACGTGAAGATTAAAAGTTCATTAAGTTAATACCGAAACAATATTCTCTAAACATACAGAAACTAAGTACTTTAATTTTGTGCCAACAAAAAAATGTAGACCAGAAGATAGTCTTAATGGTTAATATAGTGATAAAATATTTTTGCATGGACCACTTGTTGTTTGTGATAAAAAATTAACAGTTAAAAAATTGAAACCCTAAAAATAGCATACTACACAAGTATTCAAGACTGCAGAACTTAGATTCTTGTAAATATTCTTGCAGACTTTTGAATAATTTGTTCACTTTCAAAGTTCTGTTTTTTTCTAGACATCGAGATTGAGATAGACCCAAGCGCTACAGAGGTGAAGATCTGGGACTACCAGTGCCCGCAGTGTGGGAACACTTTTGCCCAAAAACGCTATTTGGCGTTCCACTTGAAGAACACCTGTCAGAAGGAACCCAGGTACTTCTGCGCCATGTGCACGGCTAAGTACAAGAAGAAGTACGACCTTGAATCACACATACTGCATAAACATATGGACAAATGAATAATTTAACTGTATGAGTTTTATTTTCTCAGATTATTTTTGAACGTTTAGAAAATTATTCAACTAGATAAGCAGGCTGTTTTATTTAAAGTATATACTTAGTATGCATTCCATTTGTTAGGGTCAGGCTCTACATCTTGTCAGCAAAAGTAGATTTACAGTATAAAGTGTCAGTTGATGCCTAATTTAGCATACAGAGTACCTATGAACCTATGATTATTTTATTTGTTTTGTTATATTGTTGTTCTTTCTTACTAAACATATTTAACCTTTTGATTACATTTAGTATATACACAGACAGATTTAGGTGTATTATGTGTTCAGGTGAAAATGAAATCTATTCCTCTGTTTTCTATGTAAAAGAAAATGTTAGCATGAGACTATCTTTGAGAGCATAATGATCTACATAATTGAAAAATGACATTTCATAAATCACCAGGTTATATATAAGTATAGTAAATAAATTTAAGTAGTATCTATTATTCTATAACTATAAAAACTAAATTATTCTATTTTATGCTTTTTACAAAAATTATGAAAGGTATTTATGTCTTAGTGAATAGGATATGTTAGGAATCTCAAAAGAGCTATCAAGATCCGGATTTGTAAATACGAGAATGTGTTATAGTTCCTATTACTAAATCAGAAAGAAACATCAACTGCAAATAAATATTGATTATCATTTTTAACACACTTTCCAACAGCACAAATTGGAGTTTGGCTGTGTAAACGGTAATACAGTTGGCTTTCATTCATTCATTCTTTTTTTTATCGCACCACTAAAAAAACACCCATATTTATTTTGATATTTCATTCTAACTAAATAATATGTAAGTAAATAACTAGTTACAAAACTAAATAGTAATTTTAATTTTGTATCCTTGAGTAGGTGAGAATGTTTACTCTATATATAGTGGGATCAATTACCTAATGTAAATGAATTACATAAATTGTTATGAACAAATATTTTGTATGCTAAGTTTGTTGTTATTTCAATAACTTTTAACTGGCTGATATCTGGTTGGCTTTTTGTAATTATGATCATGTGAAGAAAATTATAATTTTTTTATTATATTTTAAACTATACCTGCTTTGTAGTGAATTTAAATGCATTATTATTATTATTATCATCATTACATTTTATGTTTATTATAGGCATATCATTTTATTTATAGAATGATAACCTCTTGTTTTTATTAAAATAATTTTGATACGTTTTTGTTTCATTTGTGAGCAAAACAGGGACATCATCAGGAACTTGCCATGGCTATTTTGATAGAAATATGTCAAATAATCACATTTCTGCATACAGTTTGAAAAATATTATTCCATTTTGAATGGTAATGCTTAGTCTAAAATGTGTGAATGTCAATATTTGTGATAACTGAATATGTCATTAGTCTAAGCTTGTGATATAGGAAGCAAAATGTTACCAAATAGATCAAAACTTATATAGACTAACAACGATTTGATAGTAAGTGTCTATTAACATAGTATGAAAAATATAAAAAATACTATTACAGTTAGTGATTTTTGTAATAGGCCTAGTACAAACAAGGTGCTTTTAGAATTATTTTAATGATTTTGTTAAAACTTTACGACTTCTGTATTTAGTGTCAAACTGTTATTTTTATTTGAGAAATAAAATACTTATTTTTAATCGTGAATCTTACAATTTTAACCAAACAAAAGTTTATCAATGTATTTACCCTTAGTAATAATTTTGAAGAAAAAGAAAAATCAGATAAATATGGTGGATGCATTAAATGGACCACTTTAGCTTTAATTTAATCCAAAAATACTTCTGGAACCGAATTCAAATGATTATATTATCTATAAAATCTACATATCTTACAGATGAAAATAAATTTTGCATTTTTATAAATGACTGACTCACACAAAAAAAGTAATTCACGTAATTACTTTTTTGTGTTATAAAGAAGTGCGGATTACACAAACCTACTCACTTCCTAAATTGAAAACTCCATCTTATAGTTGCAAATGTAACTGTGTCTAAACCTTATGAAATTCTAAAATTAAAATTTGGGTAAAATTCTTTTTGGAATTTTTTTTTAAGTTGGTAAGTCTTACGGAACTTTTCCTATATAACCTATGTAACATGTAAACAAGGGTTCCTGCTACTATGCTAACACCATCATTGGGACTTTCTGGAGTGGTTCACCATTTATTATTTTTGTTTACCATGTATTTTATGATGATAAAGGTACAGTTAATCAAAATCATTGTTGCAATTTTAGTGATTGAAAATTGCTTCGCATAACTTATTTTTTATGAAGATACAATGATACTTCTATTGTTTTATTTAAATTGCAAACCCCTAGATAATAATTTATGAATAACTTACTAAATTCATAAAAGAAAATGTTTGTGAATTAAGTAAATAATTTGAAACTGTCTCCAACTAATGAAAACACAAATTTGACCACATGCTCTATTCCGTTCATAGGGTGAAATTAACTAAACTCAATAAAATTAGTAAATATTTTTTTTTGTCACAGAATAAAGTTTTGAGGCCAACTAATTCCAACTTTTTTGTAGTTCAGCCATCACTGAAGACCCATCAAAATTACAGACAAGCAAATTAAGGTTAAGGAAGTAACATAGAGCTCAAGAGTCTATGTTTTATAGATTTTTCTGAGTATAACAGGCTTATCTGATGGGAAAGAGTTCACTCCAGAACAATTAGAATAATTCATAGACTTTTCATCTCTTCTCAACTCAAATCTTCCTTGCCTAAAAATGCTGTCAGGGACAGTGAGCAATTTGATCTTTTATGCTTAGTGTAGAACATCATGTTATTCTTGCTTGAAGTGGACCTTTTTCCCAATCAGGGAGACCCTCTAAGCAAACAAAATATCCTTGAAAATCAAATAAATGTTATATGATATTACATGAAAAAATCAGTCAGAAAAACCTTACTAATAATAAAGCTAAAATTTCTTTCATACTCATGAACATGTTACAGTTGCAGGCACTCAAGAAGGTTTATGTTTTGTGGGTTTGGATTCTCCGAGGTTTCCGTGTCACCAATGCGGACGAAGCTACAAATACAAGAAAGGTCTCCGACTTCATCTCAAATACGAGTGCAACAAAGAGCCTCAGTTCGGATGTTCTCAATGCCCTTATAGAGGAAAACAAAAAGTTGCTCTTATAAAACATATGTTCTCTAAACACGGAATCCAACTAAATGCGCATTCTACAAGCTGAGTTCAATGAAATGCATCTTCTTCAAGCTCATGGTTAAATGAAATGTATATTCTTCAATCATGAAAGAGGATTTACTGTAATTATGTTCTTCCATGACAAAGTTTAGTAAAATATATTTTTCACGCATTGCAGTGTTTTTATTAAACAACAACTTTCAACAATAAGTTCTGTTCTTCAATCACAGATTTCAATAAAATGCATGTTCTTCAAGGGTAGAGAAGAATAATCTAAACTACTCAGTCAAAGACATACCTTTCTTTACATGGAATATATTTTTTATTTATAAGTATTTAATCAGTTAGTAATATAGTCAATGGTAATATAGTGTTATTTTTATTTTATAATAAATAAATTTGTAAGATTATTCAGAGATGATAGCTTGAATTGTCGTTCAATACCGCTTGATGATGATCTTCCCTGTCCCTGTCTGGTGTTATAGACATTAATTTCATTATTCAAACCGATCCTAACAATTTTTTGTGTTGAGTTAATTATGAAATTATAGGTATTTAGTGAGTCCATAGAGTTGTAGAGCTCTACCAGAAGTTCTAGTAGTCAAATGTATTTTGAATTGATCACTCAGAAAATGCATGGGAACTGTGTTCAAGATGTCTTTCAATTCATTCGGATTGGGTCCAAATGATCCTGGCTCTAGGGTCATCTGTAATTAGCCAATTGCAAACCAATCAACATACCTCTTAGTTGGTTCTCTTGTTTGTTATACATCTATTTTTCTCATGAGATATATTTTTATTAAGAGTAATATCACGTTTCTTTCTTTTTACTTTTTCTATGTGTTTGTTCTCTAACCTTTCTTATTGTCCACAACTATTGTAAAATGTGTTTGCATGGAAAACAAAATATGCTGCATACTAACATATTGGGTTTAATTTAAATTTTACCAAGTGAAATTCATATACTAAAAGTGACTAAACGTTAACAGGTGAAGTGAATTCCGAGACAAATTTTGGAAATGAAAAATCCAGAAAATCTGAAACAATGATGCCACCTGTTTATGACTTCAAGAGAAAGCGTGCTTTAAAAACTAAAAGATCAAAATCTGTCGATGAAAAACCAAAGGAATATACTTGCTCGCATTGCAAAAGAGTTTTCAAAAACAAAACCAGCCGTGCTATTCATTTTAGATTTGAGTGTGGACATGGTATTTCAAATGCTGCGACACCAAGAGTAGAAGAAGAAATTCCAAGTGAACGATTTCAATGCACTCAATGTGGCAGATCTTATAAGTACGAGAAAAGTTTGCCTCTTCACTTAAGGTTTGAATGTGGTCAAAGAGACTGTCCAAGTTCAGTAAGGATTCCCAATAATGATTACAACTTGAATATCCTGGAGGACAGGTTTGGGATGGAAGAAGGGAAAACATCAAAGGTCCCAAAAGATACTCTTGATGAAGTTCAAACTAATTTAACATGTCATTGCGGTCATGTGTTTTTGAACGAGAAAAGTTTGAAGTATCATCTACGTTTTGACTGCAATGGAAAAACGTCTAATGAGACGTCTGCATTTGTTCTACCAGAGGAAAACAAAGAACGATTTGAATGTGTGAAATGTGGAAAAAGCTACAAGTACGAGAAGAGTTTGTTGCTTCATCTGAAATTTGGGTGTGACGATTTGAGTAAGAAAAGTCGTGATTAAAAACAAGAACTTTGGTGAATGGTTGAATGTTAAATGGGTGTTACCTTACCATTATAATAAAAATAAATTAAAGCAAAATGTAAAATGTTGCCAGTTTAAGATTTTATCAATTGTATACTTAAAAAATAACTTGTTATGGAATATATAAATTGTTGATTTGTTTGGAATGTTAACATTTTATAATCATATTTTAGTTAAATCTATGATAAAGATTTTATCAATTGATTCCAAAAATGTTATTAAAACAATATTTGCAGTGTTTTTCTCTAGTATGGTATTGACAATCGCATTCAAATGTACATTTTGTTATCCAAGAGTTGTTTATTTTCTTTTGTTTTTGTTTTTTTTTAAAAAGCTTTTTAGAGCTAAAAGCCAGCTAGTAGGTCAAAAATTAGTTTACCATATATAATCTTTCCACTGTTTATTTTTATTTTATTTGTTATATATCTTGAATTCACTTTTTATTTAGCTATAGTTTATATTAGTTAAGTTTTTATGTGTTCTATCATTCATTTAGTACAACTTTTTGGTACCAAAGTTAAACATATAGGTACTAAATACAGAACATATAAAATAATACTCTATTCATGAATTAAGTGTTCCATTTATATTTATGACAATCCAGGTTTATAGATGTAACAAATTATTAGTGTTTGTGAGAAGTATTTTTATATCCAAGAGTGCTGTAACTTATTTTTAATCATGCATAGGTAGTTTAGTTTAAGCCTATTTAGGGTCCCTCTCTTTTCTTTCTATCAGGGATATATTGGACCTTTACTATAAATACATGGTAATCATGTAAATAGATCACAGATTATTACAAACTTATACAGTACTAAAGCTGTGAAATATCTGTAGTTTTTATACTCTTTTTAATAATAATTGGAAAATTGTCTTGTCTTAAGAAACCCTTTATTAATTTTAGGGGTTTTCTAGTTAAAATTATATTGTGTATACCATAGTTGGTATTCAATGCAATGTTTTTTACAAAATATTAAAAATATATAAATCCTGATTCATATAAAAAGTGGTACAAATATTCTGTATTCCATTAGATATACTATGTGTTTTTTTAATACTTCTTAGAGTCCGATACAGCAAATAAATGTGCATTTTAAATACCAGTCATAAAAGAAAGCAATATATAATTAGCTTTTAAAGCAGGTCCAAAACATATTTTACTTCAGTTGAATATCCGTCATATTGTAGTTTCAATATGATATTTCAATTGTTTCTCCTCACCTCAGTAAAATGTTTGTTATATTGTAAACCAGCTAGCTTGTACAACGAAATTGTGTTTGTTTTTTTAAGTTTGAATATGCACATCAAGGGAATGTAAAATATTGTTATATTTAATAATGTTATCAAAATTTTTTTTTATTTCATCTTGCTTCTTAAACAAAACTTTGTTCTCTCAATGACGTCTATGACCAAAATTGTTGCTTTGATCTGTTTTATTAAAGGGGATTAATAAATGTTACTATTTTTTTCAATTCATTATTTACTGTTATAAAATGTTTGATGTTGTTATATCCAATCAAAGTAACTGTCGTCTGACCATAAAATCTTGAAGTAAGATTTATTTTACTGAATCATACAGTAAGAGTATTTTTAAATTCTTAAAGTACCAGGAGCCTAACATATTATTATTATATTAATCTGAATAAACGAGGCCAAATTGTCTAAGAATATTTAATTTGTTTAATTGAGCACTGGTATTGTGTTAATTTTTTTTATTTCAGACAGTAATAATTTACAAAAAAATAGTAACAACCTTCCTTTTATGTTATTGTTAGATATTAAAAAGTTAATTCTTTTATATTTTACAATTTGTTTTATTGATAGTTTAAGTTTCTCTATACTTGAGGCAATAAAATTAAAATTTATGTTTTACATATTTTTTTGTCCTCTCAATTTTAAACTAATCCATATTTGACCCGAAGTCATATTGCTTTATTATTTAGGTTTATTTACACAACATGAGTTTTGTTTTAAAAGCTCAATTCCTTTAATTCACCAATAATATTTTTACCAAATTGACAAATTTGTTTGTTTTATACTAAGTTTCTGAAGCTTTTCTAAAACACGTTTTATAACCTTTTTGACGTAGCAAACTTACTCGTTAAGCTAAATGTTATTCAGACTGGGAATAAAATTGACATGTATATGGAAATATTTAGTAAAAATACAATAAGGTACAGTAAATAGAAGTTCTCTTACGGTAGTTTCCATGTTTGCTGGGGCTAGGGTATCTTTCTTTATTAATGAGTCAGCTGTAGAAAGCAACTTGAAATGGCAAAACAGTAAGTGACTTATACCATTAAAGGACATATGCTCAGCAGCTGATTTTCAACAATGAATTCACGAAAGAAAATAAAAATCCAGTTTTTCTCAGTGACATAATTTTGCAACAATATCCATCGTATCATCGACATTTATGATTCAATGACACAAGTGTTTTGCAGGGTTCGACTGCCCCAACTGCCAGCGCTGTTATAAATACAAAGGAGACCTCAACCGTCACATAAGATACGAGTGTCTCACAGAGCCTCAGTTTGCTTGCAGACACTGCACTTACAAGGCAAGAAGAAAATCAGTACTCAAGAACCATGTTCTGTTCAAGCATCGTCAAATGTTCGTCAATTAGTGTGCAATAAAGACAGTATATGATGTGTACAGTCTTTGCCTACCTTCCCATTTCTGTTTCACCAGAGCCGGCCTTAAACATGTGTGAAAGGTACGCCCGCACACCCTGCAACTTGGGGTTCCTGCACTAAGTGCAAAATACCAAAAGTTTGTAAAAATCATGCCAATTATATCATTTGTGAAAAGAGAAAAAGGGGGAGTATGGAAATACTAATATTATAGATTGAGATTTTGTGAGTTTTTATTGTTGGAATACTACTTTTTTGGTAAAGGGGCCTCCTCTGAATGTTTGCACTGGATGTTTGGCCGGGGCCCCACCCAAGGCCAGTGTGTGTTTCACCTTAGTGTGCAGTACAAGGTGCAGTGTAATGCAACCAACTATTCTCAATGTCACTATTTAGTGAAATTTACTCTTTTTAAGTTCATGAGGTTTTGGTTGGGTGAATTAAAAAGGCGAAATTTGTTAATAGATTTAACATTTATCTTAAATACATTTTCATAAAAAAAGTTTATCAAACAACTGAGAATACCAGACTAAGTGCTGAGTAAGTGTCTTTGATAAATAAGATATTACTGCGGTCTGTGTTTCAACCTGTAATGGTAGGCTACTTAACAGTACCTCACTGTTTTATGATCCTCAACACAGACACTGTTGCAAAGAAGTTAAAAGAAATAATTTTTAAATAAAAAATACTCAATTTGTGATAGTTTATTGATGTGGCATAAATTATGCTATAGGTTCAGTTTCGCTTGGTTGAAAAGTTGCCTTATTCAACAGAAATCAGTAATCCAGATCAGCGCACTCTGTCAGTGTGTTAACGTTGATTTTCATTATAAAGAAGGCAACAGCTTGGAATGGAATATCAAGTTCTGTGTCTAAGGCTAAAGTTATAAGCTAAAACACCGGGTTCAGTTTCAGGCACATACCTAGTCTCCCTGTTGCCACCAGATCGCTCCTACGCTTGCTGTGTGTGTGGCCGACAATATAAGTACAGAGGGGATTTGAATCGCCATCTGAAATTCGAGTGTTTTCACGAGCCTGCTTTTGTGTGCCAAGTTTGTACTTTTAAGTGCAAAAGAAAAGCTAACCTAAAAAGGCACATTCTTCTGCAACATCCGGGTGTCAAGTTCCAATTGTAAGACTAAGGTTTTGTGTTCCTCTGGTTAATTGTTATATAAACGTCGTTGTTTGAGGTTGTTTATTTGATTATTTCACCCTGTCATACATGTTTCATTTCTTACTCATTGATGGATGAGAATTGGAAGTTGACTAAAAATAAATGAGTAAATAAGTTATGAGTATTTAGAAGTTGACTATACTCAGTTGACAAAATTTAGGCGTAGGGGAAGAAATCTATCCCCACCACTTGAACCTACCTTTAAAAATAATAGCTCAACAGCTGAGGTATGGCAAAATATAAATCAGCTGTGTCATATATATTTAGTAAAAAACAAAAATGGTGGGGGAACTGCCCCTTACACCGCCTAAATTTTGTAAATGCAGTATAAATGAGTAGATTATGGTTATTGTGAAAAGGCCTTGCACAACAGTAAGGATAAATGGATAGGTGGTCTAGTGGTTATATTGGAGGACTTGTTTCCATAAAGCTTTAGGTTTTGATTCTGACATCTACATGCGTATCTGCTAATGCCATGACAAAAAACCAGATAAATATTTTTATATCTGTTGTAATTTTAACTATCAGATGCTAAGTGTTGTAGACTCAAGATTAGTGAACTATTAAAATATTTATAGTTTAACTGAACCACATACACAAAGACGTTAAACTGCTAGTTCAATTATCAAAAAGTACAAATGTTTGAAAATTATGTTTTTAGGGGTTCAAAATCAAAATACCGAATAGTTTTGAATATGTATTGAAAAAATCTATAAAATTTAGTACAGATATTTACCTACTTTATATCATTTTTCCAACTTGCTATTAGCAATCAGCTGTTAAAGAATATTGATATCTTTCATTGTTGTTAGCAGCTGTCAGCTGTGATGTTGTGAAGATCAGAGCCACTTAGAGTATAGTCTAAATAACATGTTTTATTTTCACACTATGGAATCATTGTGGAAAAGTCGGTTTTTGATCAGGTGTTTATACTTAACTTTTCTCTGGGGTTCAATATAAATAATGCAGTATTGCTTGCTCCTCAGCCACATTTATAGGTTTTTTTTGTGGTATTTCAAGGGAAATTCACGTCACTGATGTGGTGTGTTCGTAAATTGTGCAATTCATTGTTTTTACCCATAAGCCAATCCCAATGTACTTTTTTTCTCAGGTAAGCAAGCTGAGTTCTATCCATTATTTTTATCATTTTACGCATTTGTCTAAAACATAACCTCACTTTATGTGTTTTAAAGCAAATATAATAAACAAATGACAAAGTGTGTATGATTTTGTGTTTGAAACCTTGTTTCAGGGCATGCTGCTTGTTTATTTGTTTGTAACCAATAATCTGATCAATGTTTTTTTTTACATTTTATTCAATTTACAATCTGTTGAACGAAAAGCACAATAAGCAAATATGGTACAGGTAAAATACAGTATTTAATTTATTCAACAAATATCTAATACACAAACTTTGCATATTTGCAAGGTTTTTAAAATCTGATCAATGTGATATAGATACCTTAGTAGCTTAGATGGATAATTAACTGTTTTCATATATATATGGACGGTTCGAACGAAGAAGATTGCCCTGATTAACTTTGTTTTATCGACTGATTGTATATGAAAAATGATTTATATGAAAAGTGTTAGGGGGGAAATATTAAACTTTTTTAGGAATAATTCATAATCACTTGGAAATAATGTTTATGTCAATTTACAGGTTTTTTCAATAACTTAAAATTTTGGAAGACCAAAAAAATTTAGAAACTCATTTATTTTTTCTGTCAATATATTGCAGTATACAAACTAGTCTTGATACTTTGGTAGGGAAACATTTAATTCCATGTGGAAAAAAACAACAAACTCAATTTGTAGAAACCAAGACAAAACATTTTATAACTCTTGCTTTTTTGCAGTGTCCCACTCAAGCCAGGAGCTCACATGTCCAGTGTGTGGCCGAGAGTATAGACACAGACGAGACCTGAATCGACATGTCAGACTGGAATGTATAAACGATCCTTCTTTTGCCTGCAACCTCTGCTCTTACACCTGCAAGCGAAAGGCAAACTTGAAACGCCACGTGAAAAACAGACATCCAGGAGCTGAATTCATCTGTTAAAGTATGCAGTAATTGGCATCTATTGACAGTTTACTAAGACCATAGACGAAATAATAAAATATAGACTGACATAGGAAGGTTCCACGATGTGCTGCTAGAGGGTGCTCAAAACTGTTTGTCGATTCGCTGTATACAGAATAGTATATTTCATCACAAAGTCCCTAAAGTGATTCTTTTTTACATAAATGTTACTTTGACAAAAGTTGAGCTTTGCCTCAGTACAAGAACAAGAGTGAAAAGACATTTTGGTTGTGTTATGAAATATAATTTTCTTCATATATCGCACAAATCTTGAAATGAATTAATTTTCACAACAAAATGTTATTACGTTGTACACCATTATTAGTTTGCTTCCCAAATCGCAAACAAACTGTGCGAGTTTGTGTCACTAATTTTTTTCTTGCTGTTCGTAAAAATTTGTATTTTTGACGTGTCATTGTTGTACTTTAGTTCTTGATGGTTCTTGTTACCAGTTGTTATTTATTTGATGTTCCTATATGTATTGGCTTTGCCATTGAAAGAATAAAAATTTGAATCATTTCCATCTAGTTTTGCTAATAAATACATCCTATTACTGTATCATTATTGCATTTGGTATTATTACACTTAATAGTTCAAGTTACAAAAATATTTTGACATTTTATTTTCTCTAGACTGTGTGAAAAGGGGCACTTATTGATCTGAATTGTAAAATCTGAGATGATTCACACAGAAGCTTAATTACATTAATAATGTTTTTAAAACATTAAAAAATTAGTTAAAAAAAATACAACCGCCAGAAGTGTATAATCATAATCCACATTTTTTTATATAGACCCAAATACAGCTAATATGAAGCTCGGGGCTAAAGAAAGTAAGAAGATGTTTCTAAGTACCTTGGACCAAGGTTCTCATTGCCATAAACCATCCTGCTTAATTAACTGATAGGAATATGGTTATTGTTGGCAAATTTTTTGTATGTATGAAATGGTCTTCGTTCATTCTCATACGTGACTTCGGAACGTACTCCTAGTATATTTGATACTTTAAGTAAATATTCAAGTATAGGTAGGATTTTTGTATAGTTAATGGTATGGTTGGGTACACACTTCAAAGCAACCTACACATTTCATTATAGGATAATGAAGCCTTGTTTTGTTGGATAACGATAGCCTTGTTTTGTTGGATAACGATAGCCTTGTTTCAGTATCCAGTGTCAAAGATACTGTCCAAAATGACTCTAACTTGCAAAATCAGCAGTTGACTTGGAAAGTCAATATAGTTTTTAGGTTAGGTCCATAGGCATTGCTAACAAACAAAAATTGTGGTGTTACTTGCAGACTTGTACTCCGAGCAGCTTGATGACCGACAACACGGATGTGATGTTTGTGGAAGGCTTTACAAACACAAGCGTGATCTTTGGCGACACAAACGCTACGAGTGTCAGAGAGACCCGCAATTTTGCTGCCATCTGTGCAACTATCGGGGCAAACAGAAGATTCACCTTCGTAAACATCTCTTTTTTAAGCACTCTGTCCAAACCGACAATTTATAATTTTGCACTTAGTTTTCAAACCAAAGACAATATTAAATTTCCTCTATATCAAGTGAAACATTATTAATGAAGTTAATAATTTTGTACTTGCTGTTAAATATTAAATATATACTATTTTTACTCTATTTTGTTATTTTTTTACAATCTGAATTATACTAGTGGACAGATCAATTACTTACATAGTGAAAATCAAATTTTACAGCTCTCCAATTACCCGGATTTCCAATTATCTGGATCACTTTTAGGAGAAAGATATTATGAAATATCCCAGAAAAATTTAGTTTATTGCATTTTTGTGGTTTGCTGTATTTTGTTGAAATCTCAAATTACCTAGATTTATAAAATAAAATTAAGTCTGGTTCGAACTAATTCTACATGGAGTCCCCCCTGTAGTTGAATTAAAGTTGTCTTTCACTAAACAGTTTTCAGCAGGTTTCCAATCTACCATCTACCTACACAAGGTGGTAAATATATAAAAAATAAAACAATGGGAATCAGTTAAGGCCAGTTATAGCATCAAGGCAAATCGGAGAGAAATTCAAAACCAAGGCTATCAGAGTCTACGATTTGAAATTATGACTGCTTAAAATGTACTGCATTGTAACATATTTTAAATATATTTTACCGCCTAAATATTTACAGTAAATGTGTTTGTGTATAAAAAGTATTAGAATATATAATTTATTATATTTGTAAGAAAGCGCCATTACTTGAAATTCTAATAGAGAACCGGAAGTGAATTAAATAAATAAAAGAATCTCACTGTCAAAAATAAAAATTAATTTGTAACCTTGTTTTTATTTGCAGGTATTTTTCAGTTTGACTCTTTGTTGGATGACAAGTTTGCTTGTACAGTATGTGAGAGAAGATATAAGTATAAGAGAGATTTAGTCCGACATACAAAGTCAGAATGTTTAGGAAGCGAGAAAACATTCTTCTGCGAATTTTGCAACTACAAAGCTCGAAGGAAAACCCACCTTAAAGCTCATTGTGCCCTCAAACACGGCTATTTGATTAAATAAATATAAATGATCCAATGCTGTATTTATTTTCTCCTTAAACAAACAATGGATGCAAAATAGATGAATTTGTAAGCATTGGTAAGCAATTGTAAGCATTGGCAAAGGGGTTTTTGTATCCCCCATCCACTAATAATTTGATAAAGATCTACATTAGGAACTTATTTTAAATCACAATTTAAAATTTTATTTCCCCCCCCCCCCCTCAATCAATATTCTAATATTACACTTTCATAATGAGCAACAATTGTTTTTTTTTTTTTTTAAGTTAAACATTGTTGAAAACTAGTCTTATCTTTAAATTTCATGATACTGTAGTATTCCATTTTAACATAATTACTGATTATTTGACCCAACTATTAAAAAAACTACGAAAGTGCCATAACTCACCTATTATTTGATTTCATGATGGTCCTAATATAACTTACTCGCACGAAAACAGATTTAAACAAAACACAAAATGCATCTATAGTATTTACTGTCAGATAACCGAACTGATGATTAATACCTATCGTTGACAGTTGTATACTACCTTGATCCAATGGGACGTTTTGAATGTCCAACATGCAACAAGAGCTACAAGTATAAACGTGATCTGGCTCGTCACCGCAGATACGAATGTGATGTAACCCCGCAGTTTGCCTGCTCCGAGTGTAACTTCTCTACAAAGCAGAAGAGCAGTCTTCGTAGCCACAGCATGAGGAAACATAACTTATGCATTGATTGAACAATTGATTTGAACAATTCAGAATTTGCTTGTAATAATTTTAGAACAGTTTTTTTTTTTTGTTTTATTTTGATTTGGTTGTCAATGATATAAATAAATATGTATTTTTCACTTTAAAATATCCTGGTCCTCTTAAATATACCTTTGCTCAAATTTGAGCATTACCATAATAATTTGAGTTATTACATGAACTTTTTCGCATCTAGGGCATTTCTTTGTATATTGGATTACCATAGAATTTAAGTATGTTATTAGTAAAGTACAGCAGTACAGTATTTACTTTTTTTTTAATTAGTGCAGGTTTTGAAAAGAAACCTTAAAAAGTTAAAGATATCGTACTTTAAAGCTTGTCAGGTCATGGTGGTGTAATAAATAAAATGGGTAGCATACTATTCATACTCATGATGGAAGGAAACTATATAGGTGTGCTATTCCTGTCATATGCTGACGTCACTCAAATTGCAAACACCATTTTACCATTTAGAAAAAACAATTAAAACAATAACAATCAAATCAAAACAAATATATACTTATATGGCAATAAAATCAGGTGATTTTTTTTTCAATCTGGGTGACGTCAGCATATGACGGAAATAGCACATAGGTTCATGGCTTCAACTGAATTCTTTTTATCCTAAAAGTAGTTTAATTTAAATGAAATTACCTGTATATTACTTCATGTTAGTTCATCTATAGCCAAAAACATATGACTTGAAATATATATTTTCAGCTGTTCAGTCTATAAAAATACTGTCCAATCTTGGTTCTGTTAACGTGATACATTTTCCAGGACAAATGTATCGAGAACTCCCACGTTCTCCTCTCATGTGTAAGACGTGCGGAAAAGTTTACAAGTACCAACGTGGTCTGACTCGTCACGAGAGGTACGAATGCGGGGACAAGAAGCTGTTTGCCTGCAACTACTGCCCTTACAGAGCCAACCAGAAGGAGACGCTGAAAATGCACAAGTTTACAAAACATAAAGACTTTTTGTAGTAGAATTCAGATTTTATAAACCGAAAATGTTAATTTTAATGTTACTATGTGATTTTTCTTATGAATTACCTACAGTGTGGATCATCCCAACAAACTAAATGTGCAATTATTTGACATTTATTAAATTATATTTGTTATATGACTTTGACTCTGCTTGAATTGGCCATGATTTTACCTTGATTGAAGAATTTTATATTTATTCAGACTTAAATTATAACGTCTTATAAAAAATACAACCTTGAATCCATATATATATATATACTCCATGCATCAATTTACAATCACAATACTTGAATCAGACCTTAATGGCTTAATTTTTAGGCTGACTTAGGCTGCTTCTGTCCTTCATCCTAAGCACGGGTCGAGGTCAGACTAGGCTGTTCGCCAGCCGCTGGTGATCAGCAGCTGGCACCAGTATCATCGGCTCACCAATCCAGGCTGAGTTAGCTCAGTGTCAGCTGCGAAATTTGTGGTCACATTAAGCTGACAGTCGGGACTTCTTTCAATTCGCCGCTGATGCCAGCCTAGTGTGACCTGTGCTTTATATATTTGGTTTTTAATTTCGCTATCTGGGATTAACTCTCACCTAATACAGCCGACAAAGGACACATTTACACTAATTCCTTGAACAGTAATTCCGATAGAAAATAGTTAGCCATATTTGTTCTCGTCATATAGGTATCCATTTCGCAACCGCTATTTTTTAATAGGCTACATACTCTAGATCAAAACAAAACCATACACTATCAACGTTTTATAGCTTCTTAAAACATCGGACGATGAAATCTTTCTTTTATCCTTTGTTCTTCATGTGTCTAAAATATTGACTACATGTTGGTTGCAGGGATCTGGTTGACTCAGTCAGGGGCAAGTGGCAGAGGGAGGGGAAGGGGAAGCACTGCTTTAAATGTGTTTACATGCTTCTGTGGACGCAGTTACCGTCACAAGAGGGGGCTCACGCAACACCGGAGATACGAATGCGGAAAACCCCCCCAATTTCAGTGTATGATGTGCCCTTTCCGCGCAAAACTGAGAGGAAATCTAAAAACTCATATACTAGTTCAACATGGCAATCAGATATAGATTTACTATTAATACTATTATATTTGTTACATGTAGTACCTATTAGTCAAAGGTGAATATTTTTGTGGGTCCAAGACCAATAATAATGGGTTGTAGAATGTAGAAAATAAAGAGACTGAATAAAGGAGGAAAAAGTTGTTAACTGTATCAATAACTTTCTAGCAACATACACAAACAACTAGCTACGTCTAGTTTTGTTAGGGTGTATAAAAATCCACCCATTCTAATTTTTAACAAACTAATAATTATGATATAACTATATATCAAATTATACAATGTAAACTGATGGTGTCTTTCAAATGTTATGATCAAAACAATAATGTTAGTAAAATTACATGTACAAACAATTTTATTATTGTTTCTCAAGAGGTTTTTTTTTTATCAAGTACCAATCATTGAGATGGGACCGCCACCTAGTTTAGTATTTTAACCCAAATGTGAGTGAAGGATAAGCGTGATGAACTGCGTAGCTTTTTATTGCAAAGTAAGTAGGATATTAGAAGTGTTTAGTTTCTATAAGATTTAACTTAAATAGTCGACTTTTATAACGATTCAATATAGGAAAAAGACAAAAGTGTGACCACTGTTTCATATTGCAAAATAGACTCGTACGTTTTTCTGAATGTCTGTCTCTATTCTACAAAAATCAGGTGAAGCCTCCAACCAGCTGTTGATTCCAATCCAATACAGTTTGAGTTTACGTTCAGTGTTGCCAATTGCGGGGAAAATCCTCGTTTTTCGAGGATTTCCAGACCCTGCGAGGATTTATGCGAGGATTCAGATTTTGCGAGTATTTTCGAGGATTTTCAGGTAAAGCAACTAGGATTTTTCTGATAATCGAGTATTCTCAGTGCCTGGGTCTGTTTAAAAATATATTGAAAATCCCTCTGAATCTAAGCATTGAAAGAACAGTTTCCGCAACTGAAAAAAGTCAATCAATCAATAAATCAACCAATCAAGATCTAAGAACAAGTAGATGAAGAAGAAGACGATGAAATGAGGGTGAACTTAGAACTAACTGCCGAACTGGAAACTGGACTGAGGTGAAGTGAAGTGAAGTAATTCTATGCTCAGCTCCAGCTGTCGCTGTCATGTCAACTCAGCTGAGCGCGTGCTATAAGCCTGTAATCATGAAGCGAATGTGAATTCGAATTGAACTATTGTTGTGAGGATATGACTGGGACCGATGTGTGTTTAACAACAAACTACCCCACCTTTTTTAGCTTTTTCACCTGTACAGAAACTTGTCGTTTGTTGGTTGCTTTCAGTTCAAATTTTCTTTCAATTAGGCCTACGTAGTGAAATTATTAAAACCTAACAAATTATGATTTATTACTCAGCTATTCATAATGACAAGTGGTCGTCCAGTGGTCGAAAACTCGACCAAAAACTTGTAATCTTGTATTGACTATTGGATACTGAAGTAGACATCCCATCTATATGGACCAGATGTCGCAATTTTTTTTAAACACACAGTTGTGTGAGCCAGTCACCGAATGTGTGTCTTAAATTCTATTTTCTACCTTATTTTTTAATTGTTGCTGACAAAGTTGATGGGTCATAACAGTTGCTATAGCTCATAATAAGTCATTCCATAAGTTTTACTTGGTAAAAACATCGTGTATCCGACAGAAATTAGTCATTTTAGATCAGCGCAATCTGTTGGTGGCTCACATAAACTACGACGAATTTAATTTAAAAAAAAAAACTGGTGACAACTTTAACATGGGGATGGAATGTAAAGGTACAGGCTTCTCTATTTTCACCCCACGCTGTAAATAAAACATGTGATTGTAATTTCTTCCATTTGTTTTGATTTTCTGTTTATATTTTGTTGTTATTTCGTTGCCAACATGGCAACCCATAAAGCCCATGTTAATTTTTTTTAACTTCAAATCCATTTTTTGTGCTTATATTTGAGCCTATTTTAATTTTTAAAGGGATTCTGCACTTCCACAGGAAAATATCTTTCTAACGGTATGCATAGATTTTCCCTACGATGCACACGAGCTGAGAAAAAAGGTTTTAAAGAAACGTGCTTGCCTATTAATATATAGATAGATAGATTGGGCTTTAAATCAATTATCCTGTCTGATGAAATAGCTTTGTCATCAGTAACAAAGTTACCCAGATCATCTCACACCATTCTACACTCATCTTTCACTCAAATTTGTGTAAAAAAAGTACCTAGGTGGCGTCCCCATCTGAATGATTTATAATGTAATTACCAATTTTCAAAGCTAATAACTAATATATTATTATTGATGAAGGTTATAAGTATTATATAATTTATACTGTATTTTTTCAGGTACCGTATAAACACAGGGTTTTTCTTATTTAGGTGGCCGTGATTTAATACAACCTTAAGTGAATTATCATACCCTAAAATAAAAATATAAAAAATAGTTTATGATTTGTTAAAGAATTTCGACGTTGTCATAAGCACACCCACAAATTAACCAAGATGAACTACAAGTACTATTATTCAGATTTTACAAAGGATCAGGGTTCAGGGATGGAAAACCTACTTTTACCATTGATTATAATGCATGCGTTAAATCATAGATTATAATTCCATTGTGTTGGTTGGTCTATGGCAAGACCTCACTCATACTATTTACCAAACCCCATAATTTTTCAAGTACAATAGGTTATGCATGTATGTTCGGTTATATAGCCCCTCTAGTAAAAAAAGAAAATTTGGAAACGTATATAATCGTGTAAATATGGGGAAATTTCAAATTATTTTAATCTTTGATGCTAGCGAGGATTTTGCGAGTAATTTTAGAATCCTTGCGAGGAAAATCGAGGATTTCCGTCGTTTCGTGCGGGGAAAATCAAAGAGGTTGGTTGGCAACACTGTTTACGTTACAGTTTGTTTTTGTTTTCGTTTGAGAATTCAATTAATAGCTCTAGCTCCTGCTCCTGTGCTGTGCTTGTTTTGGTAGTTGGTGTTCTTCGTTGATCCCTTCTTGCAAATATTTAACGGTTGATTTCTTTTAAAACCAGCTATATCTAAATTATTTTTCTTTTGAATGCAACAGTGGATGTTATTTTTGCCGTGTTATATACCACAATGAACGTGAGCTGTGATCTGTATTACAATACAGTTTTTAGGTTAAGTGCAGTGTTATATGACTATCTGGAATGCAGTTTTGGGATACAGTTTCCTCATCAGCATTATTAACATTACATTCAGGTGAAATTAGTTTTATAAGACAAATTTAATCAACCCAGCGTAACTTAATTCATTTTGGTTAGGCATTAATAACCTTAAAATGTGTGTCCTAACTGAAAATAATAGCAAGGTTGGTATAGCGTAACCCATCTAGAAGATTTTTAGTCATGGTAATTTGAACACATAGGTTGCCTGTCAATATTGTCTATGAAACACTGTCTTAAGAGTGAAGTTAGCCTAAGATTTTGATAGGCCTAGATGGACCTAAGAAGATAAGTTAAAGATTTTGATTTAAGTGTCATGTTATGGGTAGGAATAGGTCTAAGTTAGGCCTTATGCAGAGCCGACCTTGGGTGGTGCGGGGGCCCAGTGCAAACATTCAAAGCAGGATTGCTTAGGCCAAGCGCGGAGCAGGGCCCTGTAAAGTTGCACCTTCCGCACGTGCCTAGCCTAGGCCTATATCAATTAATCCTGTTAGGCAAAATTGAGCTCAAAGCTACTGCAACTTAGGTACCGGTATTTTAACATTTGTTTACACATCCTAAGGAAATTCCCATCCAAAACCCTGTCTAAAAGTTTCACTACAGCCAAGTAAATAATAACTTACTTTGAAGTAAGTAATTTTGAAGTGAGTGAAACAACGTAAATTGCCTACCTACTAATTAATGCTTAATAATTTTATCAGATTTCTTAAAAACCATTCCTTGCTTATAGGTTTGAGTCTCGTTTCCACAACGCGTTGTAGGGCGATACCACAGATGTCCTTGATCTAACTTATGAATATGCAAATCTTTTCAAATGTACTCTTACCGCGATGTGTGTTGGTTCGTACGTTTCAAGAGCCACCGATGGGCTGGGAGAAAACCTCCCTGCACCAAACACGAGGCACAGTCCTTTGATGTTTCATGAGTTTACCGACTTCGGGCGGAAACAATTCGGACCTAAACAAACCACCTCGTACCGCTACACGGACCACGGACATGCTGTTCCCACGACACGTATTGATACAAGCCCTTGATCAAGTGGTACCGTATCACGCCACACGTCATGGAATCGAGGCTTAAGCCTATAAGCGAGAAAGGGTTTTTGAAGAAATCTGATAAAAACTTAATATGCATTAATTAGTAGGCAATTTACATTGTTCACTTTAAATTTGGGAATGAGGCTTTAGGCTAACTTCAAAGCTCTTCTGGTTGGTCTAAGTCAATCGTTGAGCACAATAGACACACATTTTCCTTAAAATTAAAATTTTTTCTTAAACTGATCCAATATACGAAGTAGGCCTAGTGGTAATTTAGTAACCTAGTCGTATTGAGTTTGCATATGATGAGGAGGATTTGATTTGATATTGAAAGGGGCTGTGACGCCAAGACTATGATAGTTTAAATTTATTTATTTACGGTAATTGGGTAAGGTATAAACTATTTTGGAATAATATAAACATCTGTGAAAAAAATATTGATCAATTGTCTGGGCAAATCAACGTATGGGCGTTGAACAGGTGTTTGAAAATGGTCAAACGTAGAGATTTTAGTTTCATTTTAATGAGATTTCTCTATTATTTGTGTATGTTGTTATATTGTTATGTGTTCAGCAGAAAAAGTTAATGTTTTCAGATTATTTATTTGCTTTATACAAATGTATAAGGCATATTTCTGTTCAATAAAAATTTATATTTTTCAATATATCCGTGTGTCATTAAACATTGTCTCACAGTTGGATACCGGTACATGTCATCCTAAGCCGGGGTTTCCAAAGCGCGGAAGTGGACTGCGGAATGGGGAGAAGCGATTTCAATGGCGTTTTGCTCTGCCCCTAGGAAAACAGTAGACCGGTAGGCCTACCATTAAATTACCTAAACATGAGGAGAGTGGACTGCTCCGCGTTCCTGCTCTGTGCATGGGAAAACCTGGCTTTAACTACAGTCGGTTCACAAAATTAAGGCGGATTGAGGGGAAGTTCTCCCAAAAATCTGTTCTGCTTAATGTTGCAGCTGATTGACATTTTGACAAATCTCAGCTGTTGAGCTATGTTTTAATGGTAGGATCTAGACGTGGAGGGGATAGATTCATTTCCCTAAAACTGCCTAAATTTCTTGAACGCCTATTGTATAATCTCCCAGTAGGCCTATAGTTAGTTAGCCTCAAGTTAAATAGAATTTCATAATTTATCACCAATAGCATATTTAAGACTTAGGTACAATCAAATGACTTCAATTGACTGTAGGCCTACCATTTTTTTTGGTGTTGTACCTTTGGATGGGAATTTATGGTAAAATGAAGTAGGCCTCCTATCATTTTCCTTTAATATAATTTTAGATATCTGCTAATCTTTATGGAAATTTCATTTTATGGTTATTTCTTGTGTTGAAATTGATCTTTTTCCCAATTAATTCTTGGATTAGGCCTATAGGCCTACATTCAACAATTGGTAGGGATATTTATAAATTTGAGATAATAATTAAATTTACTTAGGTACTCATTGTGAATATCCAGGTAACTTAAGTTAATTAAGTTATTATAGCCTAGATCAAATACCAGATCGATCAGCTGGAGACAATTACCGCTAGTTTTATTCTTGCGTTTTTTTACAATTTTTTCTTGTTGAATCCAGAACTATTGATAATTGAATGAAAACAGCCCCAAAATAATTCTCCATATCAGTTGAAAGTTTTAGGAGTTTTACCAACGTTAAGGATTACGAGCATTACACATAATTCAAAGGTAAGTTTTCAGTAAATTAAACATTTTAATCTTGAATCGTACAAAACTCATAAAACGTTTGAAGTATATTTACCTCAATAAACAAAGGTGTATAAAATATTGGTGCGATCAAAATGCTCATGAAATGTCTAATGTTCTCATGATTACAGGCAATTTACTGTTTAACGAGAAACCATTTATTTGTGATTGTGGACGGAAGTATGGTTACAAGAAGTCGTTTTTGCTTCATAAACGTCACGAGTGCGGCAAACCACCATCGTACGCCTGTCCACATTGCCCTTTCAAGACCAAACGCAAGGCTTCACTTCAGTTACACGTCCGCTGCGTCCATAAAGATATGAGTTTTACTATTTGATGGCGAATGAGTTGGTTTACACTGTTCTTTTACTTATTAAAATTTTTTATATGTTATCACAGGTATTTTTTCACACACAAATTTCACATTTATTTCTAACTTGCAGAGTCTAATAGCCTATGTTGAATATGTAGCCCTAACACTCACTCTTCACTTTTTCATATAGGCCTATCAACAAACACTGTAAGCCTAGTGAAATATTAAGTTTTAGTTTATAACTTGGTAACATGAATGTATTTTACATTTGTCCATCTACTACTCATGACTTTTAAAACAGGTTCAACAAATGGTACCCGATGGTGCAGATACAGTATCAAAGAATGGGAATAGTCATAGCCTCCTCTAATATAAGGCTGCGGAGGGACAAAAGTGGCAACACTACTGTTCCGTCACATCAAATCATCTGTTGCCCTAATTTATAATGGATAGTATAGGAAATGTTTATGTTTACACTTTTGTCATTTCTGTTGTTACCATGGCAATAGACATGGTTGCGATGTTGCCATACACCAATGCCTCGACCTTGTGTTAGAGGAGGCTATGGAATGGTTGTTCATATTTTATTTTACAAAATTCCAGGATATGAAATATAGCTTTGTAGCTTGTATTGCTTTAAAACTTTCTACTCCAATAGGCAACTTGTCTAAACTAAATTTATGCTTCTTCCTATTGCTTTTTCCTATCATTGTGCTCTTTACTAGTACCAGTCTTACCATTCCATGAAGAATTAGCTTATGCTAAACTATGGGGTTTGAAGAAACGCAATTCATAAAATTTATCGAATACGCTGATTGTTTCTTAATTCATAGAGTTATTCAAATCTCATTTATTTTCAGGTTCTGAATTTAAGCAGAAACTTAGGTGTGACATCTGTGGTCGTTCATATATGTACAAGAAAACTTTAGTTTTACATCAGCGCTATGAATGTAAAAAAGAACCGCAATTTTCCTGTCAGTTTTGTCCGTATCGAGCTAAACAACGGGGCAATGTGAAGAGCCACACCATGACAAGACACTGGGATCAACTAAATCATCATGATAAACATATTGCCTAGATATTAGCTATTTATAACATTAAAATTTTCTAAATTGAGTGCTTAAAATATACAGTAATAAGGTAGCCTAATAGTAGACTCCAGGAGTACTTGAACAGAACCGGTAGGTATCATAAACATAAACAAATCACGTTGCTGGCCCGACTCCTATACTAATAGCATTAACATATGGTTTAGACTGTTCCATTTGAGCAATGTTAAAATTCAATAACATTATTTAATAATGTTTATTTTCGGGCCAAAAACGTCATTTGTTTATGTTTATGATCCACACCGGTTCTGTTCAAGTATTCAAGATGTAAATGAAGCATGAAAAAATACTCATAACATTTTCAAAATGGTAACAATGAATTAATTAGTTTAAAACCCAAAATCAAATCTGTATGGATAAAACAGTGCTCAAGATGATTGAGTTCTGTGTGTGCTCGTGCATGAGTCATATACATTTTACCGAACGAAGCACATCTTGGCCTAAATGAAGAATAAATTTGTACATTCCTGAACATAATTTAATGAATATCTGCTGATCTCTTAAAATGTGATACTTTCAAAGTGCCTTTTTCTTTTAATATCCAGTGACTTAAGATTCCTCTTCAATTATTTGCTGCTACAAAATTTGGCAGTCTGGAATGTTAAGACTTAATTTAATAATTGTAAGTTGGGAGTCATTTATTTCCTTCTTGCTTGTCTTAACTAAATTGTTTATTTAGGCTCACTGTAACATAGTTTTTATTTTCCTTATAAGCAACATAGCAGTCAAACAGTTGTGGTAGTGAGCAAATTAACTTGTACAATAGAATAAATGCATTTAATATTTCATTTATGAACTTAATCAGGCCTACAAACAAGTTAGGGTACTTTCTTTACATTTATATAAAACGTTAAAACA